CTTGCAGGGCCAGCACTACGCGATGGCACTGGCTGACCGTGTTCGCGATGCAGGTCGGGCCCTTGGAATTTTGTGCGACCGCAATGCTGAGCTGCGCAAGCAGCTCGAGGAGGTTCAGGCCGAGGCAGCTCCGGAGGCGGTTGCGGCGGCCGAGCAGCGCTCCTCGGAGCTCGAGGCGGAGGCGGCGCGTCTCCGAGCAAAGGCAGGGGCGGCCGACGAGCGCGCGTTGGCGCTGGAGGCCGAGGTCCTTCGCTTAAGGTCCGAGGCGAGGGCGGCCGAGGAGGAGAAACGCAATCTCCGGGGACTCCTGGAGGGAGCGCAGTCAGAGGCTCGTCTGGCCCGAGGCGAGGCGGCTGCCCTGACCCAGCGGCTAGAGGGCGCCCTGGCTGACGTGAAGGGGGCCTCGGAAGCCCTGGCGGCCGAGCGGGAGCGACGACCGGAGAAAGAGAAGGAGATAATCGAGGCCTATAAACAGTCACCAGGCTTCCAGCTCGGGCTGGCTCGGTCGGGGCAGGTTACCTATGAGTACGGGTACCGAATCTCCCTTGGCCGGTTCTAGACAAGCCATCCCGGGCTGGAAGTGGAGGCAGATCCGTTTGTCTTGCATCCTGAGGACTTGGATGTGGACATGCCGGAGGAAGTTCCCTTCGATGATGGCGTGGGGGGATGCGACGGTTAGGGCGGTCTGGAGGTCAGCTCAACCGGGCAGCTTCCGCATTTTGTAACTTTTGTGCCCTTCGGGTCTGGTCACAGTTGTAACCCCTTGCTTTATAAAGAAAACTTTCTCCCAGTATGTTTTTCGAAAGTCGGGTCTTGTAATCCTATGCTTCGTGAATAAAAGAACCTTTTCCCAGTGTCTTTTAAACTTCAAAAATTGCACAACTTCGACTCTGGAGCGGCTGCCCGGGACCTCAGACGAAGAATTTTTTAAGGTTCTGGATGTTCCATGTCCTCGGCAGGGAGGAACCGTCCATCGTTGTGAGTCGATAGGTACCTGGTCGAACCACGCCGGTGACCCGGTAAGGTCCCTCCCACTTGGGGGGCCAGCTTCCCCCTCGTTCGGGTCGGGTCGCTGACTTCGGCCCTCCGTAGGACTAGATCGCCTAACCTGATTGGTCTGGGTCGCACCTTTCTGTTGTAGACCCTTGCGACGGCTCTCTGGTGAGAGAGGGCCTTCAGGTGTGCGTCGGCGCGTCGCTCCTTGAGCACGTCGAGGCTGGCGCGGAGTCCCTGGTTCGAGGCCTCCTGTTCGTAGCTCCTTGTTCGAAGTGTGGCAACAGTCATCTCGGGCGGTAGGACGGCCTCGGTCCCGAAAGTCAAGCTATACGGGGATTCTCCGGTCGCAGTTTTGGGGGTGGTGCGCAGCGACCACAGCACGCTGGGGAGCTCGTCCGTCCAGGTCGATCGGGCTGCGGACACTCTTCTTCTGAGGCCATCCAGGATGGACCGGTTGGTTACCTCGGCCAACCCGTTCGTCTGAGGGTGGGCCACCGAACTGAACCTTAGTTGAATGCCATGATCGGCGCAGAATTCCCGGAACCTCGTGCCGGCGAACTGAGGTCTGTTGTCGGTGACAATGGCCCTGGGCAACCCGAACCGGGTCACAAGGTTTTTCCAAACGAATTTCTTCATTTGGTGCTCCGTCATCGTAGCCAGTGGCTCAGCCTCGACCCACTTTGTGAAGTAGTCCACTCCCACAATTATGTACTTCCGCTGTCCAGAGGCCGGTGGGAAGGGGCCGAGGAGGTCCAGTCCCCACTGGGCGAATGGCCATGCGCAGTCGATGGGACTGAGCGGAACCGCAGGCTGTCGGGGTGCGCGGGTGTGTCATTGGCATGAGCTGCACCGCTGCACGTAAGCTTTTGCGTCTCGACACATGGTTGGCCAGTAGTAGCCTTGGCGGAGTATCTTGTGCGCCAAGGTCCGTCCGCCAATGTGTTCGCCGCAGATTCCCTCGTGAGTTTCAGCCAGGACTGTCCGGGCTTCGTCAGGCTCCAAACACCTCAGGAGGGGGTAGGTGAAGGATCGTTTGTAAAGCCGGCCACTTTCCTCGGTGTACCACGCGTGCGTGCGGCACAGACGCCGAGCTGCGCCTTCGTCGAGGGGAAGGGTTCCGTCCCGCTTGAAGCGCAACAGCTCCTGCACCCATGTGGTCGGCGCACTGCCTGGGGCCGTGGTTGCCACCTCAATGGCGAGAGCGGGAAGCTCCTCCATCTCTGGCCACGCTTCGGGGGTTTGCCTTGATGCCAGCTTAGCGAGCGCGTCGGCTCGTCCGTTCTCCTCCCTCGGAACATTAGATAATGTAAAGTGAGGGAATTTCGCGTCTAGATCCCTTACCCGCGCCAGATATTTAGCCATGGTTGCGTCACGAGCTTCATATCCACCGCTGAGCTGTTCGGCCACGAGTTGTGAGTCAGTGAGGACGTGTATCGCGGCCACCTGCATCTCGAGGGCCAGCCTTAGTCCTGCTAGGAGTGCTTCGTACTCCGCCTCATTGTTGGTGGCTTTAAACCCGAAGCGGAGGGAGTGCTCGAATGAGCGTCCGTCGAGGGCGAGAAGGACCAGCCCAGCTCCGGCACCCCTTGAGTTGGCCGAGCCGTCCACGTGTAGGGTCCAAGCCTCGGGAGCTCCCTCGAGGTCTTTGTCCACCCGAGCTAATTCCACGATGAAGTCGGCTACCGCCTGGGCCTTGATGGCGGTTCTGGGCGCGTAACTGATATCATGTTCACCGAGCTCCACCGCCCATCTGAGGAGCCGACCTGCAACATCGTACTTTGTTAAGATCTACCGGAGAGGTTGGTCGGTGACGACTTCCACCGAGTGTGCCTGGAAGTAGGGGCGCAATTTTCGAGCCGAGAGCACCAGGGCGAGTGCGAGTTTTTCTATCGGCGGGTAACGCTCCTCAGGTCCACTCAGGACATGGCTGACGTAGTAGATCGGGAGTTGTGTGCCGGAGCTTTCCTTCACGAGGACGGAGCTAACTGCGTGCAGAGAGGCCGCCAGATAGAGCCCCAGCTTCTCGCCGGGGAAGACAGAGGCGAGTCGAGGGAGGCTGGCCAGGTGCTGCTTCATCTGTTTCAAAGCCTCCTCGCATTCCGATGTCCATTGAAAGTTCTTCGGGTCTTTGAGCGCCTTGAAGAAAGGGAGGCAGCGATCGCCCGATCGGGCGAGGAAGCGAGATAGGGCGACAAGTCTACCGTTGAGTCGCTGCAGGTCTTTAACCGTCCGAGGGGACTGCATATCGATTATTGCCTGTACTTTCTTCGGGTTGGCGTCAATTCCTCTCTGGTGTACAATGAACCCCAGGAACTTCCCGGAGGTGACGCCGAAAGCGCACTTTGTGGGGTTGAGCCGCATGCCGAACTTGCGTAGCGTGGCGAAGGCCTCGGCTAGGTCGGCAAGGTGTGTTCCGGCCTCTCTGCTTTTCACAATCATGTCGTCCACGTAGACTTCCATGTTCCTCCCGATTTGAGGGGAAAACATCTTGTTTACCGTCCTCTGGTACGTGGCTCCGACATTTTTCAACCCGAACGACATGACCTTGTAGAAGTATATCCCTTGATCGGTGAGGAAAGCCGTGTGTTCCCTGTCTTCGGGCGCCATCCTGATCTGATTGTATCCTGAATAGGCGTCCATGAAAGAGAGGCGTGCGTGCCCTGCCGTCGCGTCGACCAACTGGTCGATCTTCGGGAGGGGATAACAGTCTTTAGGACACGCACTGTTGAGACTAGTGTAGTCGACGCACATCCTCCAGCTTCCATTGTGTTTTTTCACTAGAACTACATTGGATAACCACTGAGGGTATTTGGCTTCTTCTATGAAGTCGGCCGCCAAGAGTCGGTCCACCTCCTCTTGTATGACACGTTGTCGATCAGGTGCGTGGCGCCGGGGCTTTTGCTTCACCGGACGAGCGTCAGGTGGGATATTGAGATGATGCTCCACGACCTTCGGGTCGACTCCCTCCATGTCCGACGGGGCCCAGGCGAAAATGTCGGCATTTTCCCGCAGAAGGCCGACGAGCTATTCCCGTTCCTGCTCGGGCAGCTCTGATCCGACCTTGACCGTCTGATCCGGCCGTGCTTCCCGCAAGGGGACGTCAACAGTGGATCCCCTCGGCTCAGGGTGGGGGGCCGGATTCTTTGCTTCCCGGGGATCTTCCAGAGGCGCCCCTCCCCTGGCCCTTTTGCTCAATGAGACGGAGGTGAGGTAGCAGCGCCTGGACTCTTGGGGGCTTCCGGTGACTTCCCCGACCCCCTCCCGAGTCGGGAATTTGACGGTCCGGTAGTAGGTCGAGACGGCGGCTCTGACCTTGTTGAGGGTTGGTCGACCGAGTATGGCTTTGTAGGCGGTGGGAAGGTCGACCACCAAAAAGGTGGTCATGACGGTCTTTGATTTCGGCGGGGTCCCCAGGGTCAGAGGCAGGGTGATGGCTCCCAGGGGCGATATTGAATCTCCCGTGAAGCCGGTGAGCGCCGAGCACATCGGGCTTAGACTTTCCCTGGCTAGGCCCAGCTTCTGGAAGGCGCCAAAGTAGAGTATGTCGGTCGAGCTCCCCGTGTCGACCATGATTCTCCTTACTTGCGCGTTGGCTACCCTAGCCGATATTACCAGGGCATCGTCGTGGTGGGGTCGCTCAGTAGCTCCGGTTGGGAAGGTGATCTCAGGCTCGGGCCCGCGTCCCAAGTCTTCGTCGGGGGCGGCCCGGGCATAGGCCTTCCTGACCGACATAGAACTTCCTCCAGAAGCGGGGCCCTCGGCTATGACATCGATGTGTCGCTCAACAGGGCCCTCCGGACGAGGAGACTCCTCCTTGCTCGGCCGGAGGTACTGGCCGAGGTGAGCTCTGAGGATGAGCTTCTCGATTTGTCTTTTTAACTCGTAACACTGCTCAGTGTCGTGCCCGTGTTGTCGATGGAACTGGCAATACTTTGAGCGGTCTGCGAGCTCTCGCGGGTTCTTCATCGGGTGAGGGTCCCTGAGCAGCCCCTTCCCCCTTTCGTGTAGGAATATCTCAGTCCGGGAAGAGTTCAAGGCGGGAAGAGGAGGCCTTGGGTCGGGCCTGTCCAACTTTCGTCGGGAGGCGGTGGGTTGTTGCTGTCGGGGCGGCTCTGACTTGACCTTTCTGTGCTCCTCCCGCCTTCCGACCATCCAGGTTTCCGCGGCGATGAACTGACTGGCCCGTTGGAGCATCTCGGGGACCGCGACGGGGGGCCTCTCCACGAGCGACCAGAAGAACCTGGAGGGCCGCAGACCAATCATAAAGGCCTGCATCAAGAGAGAGGGGTGAGCATCCGACAATCCACGGATTTGCGTCGTAAACCGGTTCACAAAGTGAGAAAGGGGCTCGTCCTCCTTCTGGTTGAGCCCCAGGAGCAATGCCATGGACGACTTCGGTCGGGCGTACGCCAGGAAGTTAAGTTCAAAATCCTTGGCGAGCTGATCGAAGGAGGCGATGGTCCCTGGCTTCAGGCCACTGTACCACGCGCGGGTTGGTCCTCGCAAGGTCGTCGGGAATGCCCTGCACATCAGGGCGTCTGAAGTCCCGAATAGCGCCATCTGGGACCGAAAAGCGGCCACGTGGTCCGCGGGGTCGGTCGCGCCGTCATACGCGTCCAAAGAGGGGAGGCGGAAATGCGGCGGGATCGCCTGATCCTGTATCTCGGGGGTGAACGGAGATCCTTGGTGTCGGTCCGCCCCGAGTTCTCCTTTTGACTTACGAACCTCCTGTTGTACCTCGGCAAGCTTTTGACT